ACAAGTTAAACCCAAAAAACTGTGATAAAGTGATATTTGTCCACATTACATAGACACCCGCCAAAGCATCATCAGCCAAACCAGCAGCTGCTGGACAACGCAAGAGAATCATAGAGCAGGAGGACAGTGAGGAGGAGGAGGAGGAGGAGGAGGAGGAAGAAGAAGAAGAAGAAGAAGAGGAGGAGAAGGAGGATGACAACAGTGAGGGAAGTGAAGAGGAAGAACCACAGACAAAGAAATCCAAGATGGCCGCAGCAGTTGGTAACCGTGGAAAAGTGGTAGAGAAGGCCACGCCTCCCAAACGCGGCAAGTTGGACGAGGTAAACACACACTTCGTAGACTTTTCTTTGGCGTCAGGTCAGAAATGTTCACCTCAAATCTTTAATTGTACTTCTAATATATCAATACTTCAAAATGTTCACATATATAGAATAAAATGGCAACATTAGCAATTCTGCATAAACTGTTCAAGTAAATGAATCAGCCTTTGTGTGTCAGTCTGGCTGTGTGGTGCATTGTGCAACCGGCTGTGAGGACCGTGCTGTGATGGTGTGTGCTGTTGTCTTATTCTGCTGCTTGTTGCCTCCTCTTTTGTTACCACTTGTCTCCCACAAGGATTAACTTCTAGGAAATGAATGAAAGGAACTTAATGAGGAAGGTTACTCATATTTTGGCTTGCTTTTTATTAGTATCTGAACATAAAATAACAGCAACTAAAGTACAATAATAAAAGGCATATGCTCCTCTATGTGTCCATATATAGGCTGTAACTAAGGGCTACTTTCACACTGCAAGCCTTGGCATTCAATTCGGATTTATTGCTCAGATCTGGGTTTTGTTTGGTTTGGCTGTTCACATTATTTTTTAAATGTGGCCCATATCAGATTCATTGTATCAGTGTCAGTGTCATTGCTAATATTCAGTTATATTCAGCTTTACAGAAGACTACTACTGTGACAAAGCATCTTGCCATCTGGGCACTAATGGCATTAAAAGATATTTTCTGATGAGATACTCTTGGGCAAATCATTTTTATCAATAAACTGCAGCAAGCACTGCTTAACTAGCTTCCTGCTGTTTTTGGACAGCTGGCAAGATGGTGACTCTGAAATCAGTTTTTTTCATATCATGAAAAGAAAAAGGAAGTGCAGACATTCACGGGTGGCTAAGTAGAAACACCCTGTTGCTGTTGACTTTGCAGGTTAAAACACTCTCACAGCCTGAGAAGAAAGGCGTTTCTACTCCTACACGGCAGACACCAGCACCACCTTCTGTCCCTAAATCCATTTCCATGCAACTGCATGGAGCTAAAGCAAAGGTAGCTTTACTTGGTCCCTCTGTCTACTACCCTCAAATAAAGCTGGGCTGAATCTGCTCTCACAACTTCTAACAATCTTGACAACTTAATCTTTTAGTTGATCTCGGTGTTGTGTCAGATAATCACTCTCTCGTCTAACAATCCTCTCTTGAAACCAAAGTCGAATTCTTCTCTAACGGCTCTCTGGAATCACGCATGCAATTCTCACCCAATGTCTGAGGTCACACTGGGACTCACTTCTTTCATTAACAGGACAAAAATAATTTCTTTTAACCTTACTTTAACTATCTTTTCAGTGAACGTTTTTCTGACTGCAGAGGTGGTCATGATTGTTTTGTTTTTGCAGGTCTCTGAGAAAGCTGCACAGCAAGAACCAGAGAACGACACTAAGAACGCTCAGAAAGGTGAAGATGATTGGCCGCTCTAAAGTGCCATGTAACGGTCATAGAACAGTAAAAAGAAAGCTATAACATTTAAATACATTTCTATCTATGTATTTTTTTTAATTTTTGTTTTTACAGATAAGGGTCTGCTGGTTGAAGTACGTGTCAACAAGGAGTGGTACACAGGAAAAGTCATTGCTGTGGAGTCAAATAAACAGAGCGTTCGCTGGAAAGTGAAGTTTGATTATGTACCTCGATCCACCCCTAAAGACCGATGGTAAGATGCTGTCTCTGTTTCTGCATTCAGGGCACATTTGGTTGTCATGCCAGATAATTGATATCATATATTTGTGTGTTTGTATGTCTCTCTGTCTCCGTGAAGGGTGTTTAAGGGTAGTGATGAAGTCCGGTTGATGCGGCCGCCATCTCCAATCAGTCAGACACCTGACACCCAACAGGAGACCGAGAAGGGGCCGGCACCCATGGAGCCAGACACTACTCAACCAGGAACCAGTCGAGAGGTCACCGATAGTCTGGTCACCATGTTGAGGTGAGCTGATTACAATGAATGAATGTTGTTGCCACACACAGCCAGAGCACATAGTTTCAGAATCATTCGTTATTTAAGTCTGATAGCACCGTGGTGTGTTCACTGTGCTGTTTGTGTTTCCAGGACAATGCTGCGTTACTTCTTCCCTCCTGCTTTTCGGATTCCAAAGGACGATGTTAACAGTATGACGGCTGAGGAGTTGGTGGCCTTTCCTTTGGTGAGATTGATAAAAGATGAATAAATAGATGACAAAGTCTTTATTTTACTAAAATTTACTGAACATGTATCGACACATTTACAGTTTCTGCTGCTGTGTGATGCTGCAGGTATTTAATAAAGTCAAAGGAAAGAATCTGACACGCAGCCAGCTGTGGACGGCATGCATGAAAGTTGGTTGGTTGGTTTGTGAACTCTGTGTTTGCACCTCCTGAGAGTTTCCTTATTTGAAAAGCCTGAAACACTGGAGCCAGCTGCAGAAACAGCTCCACTCCCTTTAAAAATAACTTTCCAGATCTTATAAAGCATCGGTGTGTAGCTGCAGCAGCTGCTCCATGTCAAGTTCTGCTCTGTTACATTAAAATACCTTGTGAAAATAAAAAATCCCAAATCACTGAGATGCCAGTTCGCATGGGACTAATATTATCACATGACATCAGTTTGGCCAAATATGCTAGGTAATTTACTTTTATAAATTACAGACAGCATAGCATTGCATAGAAAATGGATGCAATGTATCCAGCAATACTACACATTGAAATATTACTTAACCGATCTGGTAATGTGTTTAATTGTTCTTACTATTGTGTTTTCTTGCCCAGAATCTTGAGCACTGGTGTATTAACTAGTGTTTCTCCCCTCCCTCCTCCATTTAGAAAGAGTATTTCCAGCAGTATGAATCGGGTCTCCAGTCATTGTGTAACTCGTACCAGAGCAGAGCTGATGCCAGGGCCAAAGCTGTAGAAGAGAAAAGCAACAACGCTGAGGTCAAACTGAAGGAGGCAGACGAGAAACTACAGAAACTACGAACAAACATTGTAGCACTCCTGCAAAAAGTGCAAGAGGTGAGACTTGCTGCTTCATCTGTACTGACCGTTCATCTCAAATATACTCTTACCTGCTTTGTTTGCAAAACATTACGCATAAAGTAAAACAACTTTTCTGCACTTTTAGGACATTGACATAAACACTGATGACGAGCTTGACGCCTACATAGAGGACCTCCTTACCAAGGGTGATTAAAGAAGAGAGAAATGTAAGGGAGAGAAGAGGACTTGTACGTAAACAGACTGGCAGTTTTCATTCCAGCCATTACTTGCTGACGGCTCTCCAAGGACTCATGCTTGTGTGCAGAGTTGGCTGTGAATATTCTGGGATATTTTCATTGTTGAACCCTCCACTCGTTAAATCCGATTGTCATAAGTTTGATCTTTGATTTTGGTTGTTCCAGCGTTTAGTCTGCACCAGTGAGTTCTTTGAGTTGGGCAGATTCTCTGGTGTTTCTACATTGTTGGGTAGCCTTCTGGCCTGTGGTTTTCTCTTTAGTCCTTTTTATATACCTGCTTATATATGTTAATCTACGTTTAAGCCATCCTATCCTGATTGATCTTTGAAATAATTTGTGTAGGTTTAATACAATGTATGCTCCCTTTATGTAGTCAACTAATGCTGTGACAAACTGCAGTCTACATTTGTTCCTCATTTTGGTCCATCATCAGGTGAGAATCGGACACACCCAGTAATTAAAACTTGGGCTTGAATGGGCGGTTCTCTGCACTGCAGCCTGTACTTAAACATTAACGTTTATTTTTGTACACTAAAAACACATCAGTGTTGCCCATTACCTTCCTCCATCCTGGTCTGAGAGAAAACCAGGTTAATATTTTACCGTTGGGTGGTGCGTCACACCCACAATAAAAAAAAAACTACTTACTGGGTTTTATCAGTATGATTATTCCCATATATCCCTCCTGAATTTAAGCTATGACTGTTCTGTGTTTATTTTTGAAAGAAGAAAAAAAAACATTTAAATGCAAAAGTTGTGTGTTCATAATTATTCCGTGCCGGTGTCCTTCCTTTTGAACAGATTTTTAACATGTCATGGAAATGTTTTATTAAACGGTGCATGCTTTCGGTCTTTTTGTTCTGATCAGAACAAAGGATTCTGTATTTTTGACAAATCTTTACTTAGAACAATAAAACAGGTTAAGCAACACCTTTTGATCAATGTATGTCTGCTATTTTTGTATGCTAAATGACAAAATATTGGTTAACGGGAAATTGCATTTCGGTAGAGTGTTCAGTAAAAGTAAAAGCAATCTATTAGTTTCAGTAAAAACTAACTCTTAAAGGGTAAGTTCACCTAAATGAACCATAGGTGTGTTGACTGTCACCATTCCAGTAAAATTAAGGCAAAGGGAATCTAATTTCTGGTACTCTTAGCATTTATGTTTTTAAATTGTTTAAATTCAACAGCACTTGGGTTTTTTTTTTTTAAATAAAAACTGAAAACTTTTTTTTAAATATACATTTTCAAAGCTGTGACAAAGGGAGATCTCAAAATCAGATAATTTTAAATCAAAAGTATTTGCATACCATTTGATTGAAGTTAATGTTTGTATTTTGAGTAACCGGACTTTTATTTTGAAGGCGAGAGTTTGCCACAGTGGTGAATGTAAACAAACTGGTGAGTTAAGGTCAGGTAAGATTGCTGTTTCTTCTCTTACAACCATGCAGTTTAAACCTGACATTCAGAATATACAATGTTATCAAAGCAGTTATCAACCAGATTCAATGTTATCAAAGCAGTTATTAATATAAACTGAGTAAAAGTGATTGCATATAAAACTGATTTAGTAAAGCGTCGTAGCTGTTAGCAGTTAGCTGTTGTGGTTGCAGAGCTCGAAATAAAAGTGCTAAACTACGCAGTTAGATGAAGGGATAAAGTAACAGTTATTAATGTAAGTATATGCTGTATTAACCATGATACTATTATCAAATACAATTAACAGGAAAGCTAATATCTGCACGGACAGGACAGCGGAATTGGATGAACTTTGACCCACTTGGTGATTGTTAGCTGAGTTTTAAGTTGGAGATTTTTAAATTCTTAGTTAACTAGAAATAATATGGTAGATTTCACTTAAAGCACTTCTTAATTTAGACACAGAGCTAGCTATAATAAATCTATTTAGACAACAATGTGCGTATGGCTACCTACATATACATTTTACTGCTTATGTTTACAAAATTGTGTCAAAAATGTTTTAAAAATATAACTTCACAAGAGTAAGTAACCACTTTTTTACAAATGTAGTGTAAAAAACAATTCTACATGATGTTGGTTTGTGGCTTTCAGTGTTTTGTAGTAGCACATGTATTGTCTTTACCTTTTGTAAATGTAAATATGAATCCTAGAACATCATCTATTACTATGGATTGAATTATTTGTAATTCTCATCTGCTTGAATTCACTGTAATGTGTTACTGTACGCTTTTGTGACATTTATAATTTAAGAGCAAAACAAACTGTGGCCAAAAACTGAAACCTGAAATATGTGAGGCCACTAACTTAACTCCTGTTTAAGAGTATAAGGTGTCTCCATGAGGCTAAACATAAAACATGTAGATACAAAATATTATACATTACAATTTTATACTTTGGATTCTAGATAATCTTCTAAATTGCTGAATGAATAAAATCAAGTAATTTTCCACCCACGCTGCATTCACACAGTTGAATGCTTCATCTCGCAGCACTGTGCTGATTCTCCTCTTTAACCCCAGACTGCAGGTTTTAAGCCATGTCAGCATGCTTAACCCTACTGAACCGCCGTGTAGCTGGGAGCTGCTGCAGGGTATGGCGTGGTGTTCCTCGACAGCTCGCCCACATCAGATCAGCCAGCGTAGCAGAGCCGGGCATGAGAAGATCTGATGAAGAACATCTCTGGGAGGCAGCAGGCTACCTGCCGTTCTCCAGGGCCAAGATAGGATCTTTCTTCCAGGAAAGGCCAGTGCTGAAGAACCCATTTCTAGAGGATGCCTTGCTCAGAGGATACCTGAGGAGACACCTGCCCCAGGAGGTGAGGAGGAGGCCTCCAGCTGCTCTTAAAAATCTACTATAAAGAAATGACCTGACACAGAGCTACATGTGGAATGCCTGACAATGGCAGTCAAATAAGTTGTTTTGTAGGCAAAGAACTAAGATGCATATTACAATTATATTATACTAAAATCAGGAAAGCATGTAAAAAGAAACGCTATTGGACAAATACTTTTGTCTTGTTAATTAGTTTGAACTTAAGTCATATGCACATTTTTTCCCTGTTTTTGCTGCTGCAACATCAAGTCGCTCATTTTCTAAATCAAAACAACCAATAACAACACAAGTTGTTTTCCAGGCTCCATCTTACTGTTATCTCCAACTAAAAACAGCTCGAGCAAACAGCTGGACAGGATGTATCTAGTTAATAAGCTGAAGCTTGTTCATAATCTGTGTGGATATTTGTGCATATACTTGTTCACAGGCAGCTTTCTCAGACCTGTGTGCATTTGGAGAACGTGTGGCCAATGAGGTGGATGACTGGGGCAGGGAGTGTGAGGTTACGCCACCACGGCTGGTGCACTTTGACCCCTGGGGTCGCAGAGTGGACCACATTGTGACCTCCCCAGCCTGGAAACACATGAAAGACCTGTCAGCACAAGAAGGACTGGTCGCTATTGGCTATGAGAGGTCATTTGGGGAGTGGAGGTTAGGAGATGGTTATACTTCCTTTTTCGGTTTAACTTTTTTTTTGCAGTTTCTGATAGGATAACTTGTTCTAAATGTGTGTGTGTGTGTGTGTGTGTGTGTGTGTGTGTGTGTGTGTTCCAGTCGTGTGTACCAAATGAGCAAGTTGTACATCTTCTCTCCCTCCTCTGGTCTCTACACCTGTCCTCTGGCCATGACTGACGGCGCTGCTAAAGTCATCCAGGTTTGTCAGAAAATCAAATAATCTGACTAACGTTGTAGACTTTTATGTCTGAAACAAACACCGTTGTTATTTTGCTCAATACATTGTGTTAATTTAACAATAGCTGAGTTGTAGTAGTTGTAGTAACCAGATTATTGCAATATGAAGGCAAAAATGTGTAGTTTTATCCAAAATTGCTCATTGTAAGCAAAGACTGTCCTCTGTGATTTTGTCACTGCTTCATCCTACATCACTTACACACTGAAGAAATATGGTGTGTTATAGCAGCTAGGGGAACAGTATGGTTATTGAACAGCTCTGTGTAAACGTGGGTTTTAGAGTCCGATTATTGCAACACAAGTACAAGCTGATTTCTCCCTGTAACCCTTTTTCTGGCCGTGTATGTGAAGTCTATAGGTGTTTCGTGGCCAACAGATGAAGCCTACAGTCGTCTGACAACCCGTCAGCCTGACCGTTTCTGGACGTCTGGACAGTGGATGACAGAAAGACAGGGAGGATCTGACGTGGGTCAGTAGTGACTCTGACGGTTCTCTTACATGAACCAGTATCATAAAGAAGAACTCAAGAAAATGTTATTTTATCCACATATGGCCCTGTGATATTTAATTGTTGTTACTTGAGTAAGACTCAATACTAATCCATCATGTGTTGCCTCTCCATGTCTTGCATTTCCTCAGGCAGTGGCACAGAGACGGTGGCTGTTCCCCAGACCGATGGTTCATACAAACTACATGGCTTCAAGTGGTTCACCTCTGCTACAGACGCAGACATGACCCTCACATTGGCCCGAATTCAGGACAGAACAGGAGCAACCACACCGGTACTGCTGACACTCCTCTATCATCAGTCATCACTCTTCCTCAGTCACTTACAAAGTGATTTCATTGTTCCGTACGTGTGCTTGTCTCTGTCCCACAGGGTAGCAGGGGTTTGTCTTTGTTCTACGCGGAGGTGAGTAGAGATGAGGAAGGCCGGCTGAAGGGAATAGAGGTTCAGAGACTGAAGGACAAGCTGGGCACAAGACAGATGCCGACTGCTGAGTTACTGCTGGACGGCCTGCAGGCACACAGGGTCAGTTACACATCGTCATTTATTACAGTAATGATAAACTGCAGACACTTTGTCTGATTTATAACACACTGAAGTTATGATAACTTCCTGTTTCATGACGATAGATTTGGCGCCATGCCGTTTGACACACAGTCACAGGTAGCACAACTTTTAATCGTGATGGTCTTGGACATACTACATACTAACGACTGCCACCCAGTGGCTGCGGTATAATCGCTGTGACAGGAAATCAAACCCTGTTTTATTTGGAAATATAACACTAAACATTACAGAAACAAGACAATGTTGAAATGCCTTTTACTTGTGATTTAATCCTTCAGTTGAGACTGTGCCAGCTCATTTAGTTTGAATATATAAAAATCCTTGACATCTGTATTCCTTCTTTACACTTACAGCTCTCAGAGGAAGGGAGAGGTGTGGCCTCCATAGCCAACATGCTGACTATAACGCGGATCCACAACAGCGTCTCTGCAGCAGCCGCAATGAGAAGGCAGGATACAACTCGTACTATTTCACTGCATCCTGCACTCATTTCTTAAAACAAGCTATAAAATAAGCTGATTAATAATGTGTGTGATCACAGGGTGGTCCAGTTAGCTCGTGACTATGCCACTCGCCGCTCTGCCTTTGGAAAGCCTCTTAAAGACCACCCACTGCACATACAGACTCTCGCTAGGATGGAGGTAAGCTACCAGAGGGTGAAGAAACTACACAAACTCTACACAGTGTTTCCCATCATGCTTCACTCATGCTTGCTTCTGCTGACATGGGACAGGTGGAGACTCGAGGAGCGTTCCTTCTGGTGATGGATGTGTGTCGCCTGTTGGGCCGAGAGGAAAGCGGCATGGCGACCCAGCTTGATACGCACCTGCTGCGTCTGCTCACTCCTGTGGTCAAACTGTACACTGGGAAGCAGGTGAAGTTCTCATACGAATGGGATAAACTGTCTATAAACTTGATGTTTACTGTACTTGTTTGTTTTGTCTCAGGCGGTGGCTGTGGTGTCGGAGGGTTTGGAGAGCTTCGGTGGACAGGGCTACATCGAGGACACCGGATTGCCTGGACTACTTCGTGATGCACAGGTGAGGTCAATACATAAAAATCAATAGTTATTTAAGGTTTTTGCTATTTTGAAGCTCACCTCTCTCTCTCTCTCAGGTGTTGAGTATTTGGGAAGGTACCACAAATGTCCTGTCTCTGGATGTGCTGCGCTGTGTTGCTCGTAGCTCAGGAATGGTTCTCCATGCTTACGTCACCCACGCCAAGGTACAGGGTCAGGGAATAATCCTGTCAAACAAGTTCAGTAACTAAACTATGACACAGTTTAACAGGAATGTGATGTGCACTTCTTCTCCTTGTAGTCCCTGCTCGCAGGTGCATCAAGTGTTTCCTCACTGGCCCCAGCAGTTAAAGCAGTAAACAGTGCTCTCTCTGAACTGGAGGACTTTGTTCAGGTAGCAGCTACCAGAGCACCCGGCTACCTGGAGCTAGCAGCCAGAGACCTGGCATACAGCCTGGCTCGCATCTACACGGGTAGGTACCACAAACACACAAACACTCCTCTCCATTAAAAGAGTACCCCAATGCAACAGAATCCAGAGATATTGTCTTTTTTCATTGCACGTGTTCTTCCTTGTCAAAACCTGGTTGCCTACATTACCCACAATACAAGCTGACTACGGTAGAGGTGTTGAACTTAATCAAATAATCGATGCATCACGATGCAGACATGGACGATGCTGCATCGATGCAGTGGCCGACCATAATCGATTATAACGCAATGATGTCGCTCGTTAATTTTCCGGCCGCGGCATAAACATTCAAATGAAAAATAACATTCTCAGTAGCCTAACCCGTTTCATCTAGACCAGTACTTCTCAAATTGTGGGGCGTGACAGGCAGGGGGGACTGACGGGGGAGGAGAGATGGAGAAGTTTCTGACAGGAGTAAAAAGAAAAATGGAGGAGACTTCAGAGGCAAGAACAGCAAGTGACGGTAACCCGCATAAACCTAATAAGAGCAGGAAATACGACGAAGCCTACACAGCCCTGGGTTTACCGTGAATACGGTCGGAAATGAGGAAAGACCTGTGTGTGTTTTATGTTTAAAAACTCTGGCAGCGGACAGCATGAAACCAAACAAATTAAGACGGCACTTGGAGACCTTACACCCCAGTTATGTCAATAAGCCACTGGACTTTTTTTTTTATCGAAAGCTCAATGCGTATCACCAACAGGCCGGTCATTTAGTGAGCGCGGCATCAGTAAATAAAAACGCACCGTTAGCCTCGTACAAACACCGCCACATTGCAAGGTGCAAAAAAACATCACACAATAGCAGAGGAGCCAATACTCCGGCAGCATTGGACATGGTCACAATCATAGGTGAGGAAAGTGCTGAGACACTGAATACTGTCCCTCTGTCTAATGACACGATCGGGACACGTGTGTGTGTGTGTGTGTGTGTGTGCCGTCTGCTGTGTTCAGACTGTTAAATAAAAAAGATTGTTTATATCTTACTACTTGTATTTTTGGATGAAAACAACCATATGAAGTAATATAGAAAACTGTATTATATTGAACTATACAGTATCTTAATGCATTCTATCAAGTCAAATATCCTATATGGCTTTAATAGAAAAATGTATTTGAAGCATCGTGATGCATCGAGGAATCGAATCGCTGACATGATAATCGTAATCGAATCAAATCGGGAGATCAGTGACAATTCACACCTCTAGACTACGGACAGTTCGTTAGTCAGAGATTTGTGTGTTATGTAGAGGACCCCTTTTCTATCATTGAGTAAACAATGATGTGTCACACATGAAGTGACACATCTTATGGCTATTTCATCTGATATTAAGTTCATAACAATAACAGTACAGAACAACTGATAAACTGTACGATGAACCCAAATAGTGAACACAAAGACTGCAGGAAGTTTCTGTAAAACGAGCAATTTGGATGAATTTTGAGCAGATTATTTCCTGTGAATACTGATCAGAGATGAGTTTTCCTGATATATTTTATACAATTCTCTCTGTACTTTTTATTTTTAACAATCACACATACTATATAAGATGTATCTTACAGAAAAAAACAATTTAATTTAGTTTTCGTGAATTTTGTTTCACAGAAATGAACGAAATGCTGAGATATAGACCTACTGTGTATGTAGTTTTCTTACACACTTTAAAATCAAGAAGGTCTTGTGACCCCCCGTGATGCTTTGGCGGGCTCCAGTCTAGTACACACGCTTCTCCACACCCTTAAAAGTATTTTCTTTTCTTACTAGTCTTCAGCCCTAACCGACACTGACAATTAATCAGAAATTGCATAGCTCGCTCTGGAGCCGCAAAAGTATTTGTGCAACTTTTTTCCACATGTGCTGTAGAGTAAAAGCAGTGGACTTTCCCCTTCAACTCTCTGTATGTTGACAGGTGCCCTTCTTATAGACCATGCATGTTGGAAAGGAGCCTCTCCATCCGACACCTATGCAGCTCTCAGGTAAAAAAAAAAAAAACCTCAGCCAGTCTTCAAGTCTTCAGAAAAAGTTTTTTAGAAAGATACAATGCAGATTTTGCATTCATGTATTTCCTTTATATTCCTTCATCAGGTGGTGTGAACACGACTTGTGTCCTGTGGCGACTAAACAGGCGAGAGGCTGCTATGATCCCAGCACTCCGCCGCTGGATGCTGCGCTGGTGTACGACCGGCCGGTCTAAGACTGAATGTTCACCGGATGAAACTGTGACTTGATATTCAGGTCATTGCTGTGCCTCATTTAAATTCTGTACCAGATCTCCTTACTGTAGCACACTTCTGCGGTATACAAATGATTTATTTTTTAGGCCTGGGTGCTAAAAAGAGATTGAAGTAGGTGAATAAAACATGACCCCAGCCTTTTCTCATTCACAGTCAAGTTGAAAGCAAGAGTGGGCCAATATCAACAGACCACAAACTAACTAGAGCACAGGTCATAAGCAAGAAGTTTTATTTACATGGTGCCTTCTAGTACTGTTGGAAAAACAGCTGATGTGTGAGCTTATTTGCACTATTTTTACAACACCTAATTGTTTTTAATTGTACTGAGACAAATTATCTTGTATGTTTATTGTATCATGGTGTTTTACTGAGCCAAACTGTATATTTGAAATCAAATAATGGCAAAGCATGCTAACAAGGCTATCAAGTGATGTACAGTGTTTTGTTTGGAAATAAATGAACAAAGAATGTATAAGAAATACAACTGATTTTTATTTTCTCCACTTCTATACTGATTTCTTTTTGTCTCAGAAAAAAAAAATGTATTTAGTGAATTATTTTTTGTATTTTTATAGTTTTGGGGGACTTTTTACGTTTGATATTCTGAGTTTTCGAGGAGTTCCTGAAGGCGGCACTGAAAAACAGTAGGTGGGGTTTCAAGCGAAGGTGTACACGATGTACACGGACATTAAATCAGGGCAGTCAGTGAAAGAGCTGTAAAGAAACAAACCACAGATGTTAAAGTGAAGCTACAACTTCAACAACATCCACTTTTATTATGAGGGATTTTTTTTTTTTCCCCCGATTTTAATTCAAGCTGAAAGGTCCGGATCGCAGGACTGAGACAACCCACCACAGACCCGTCAACGCACCACCAGAATGGACGCAGCTCCTGGATAAAGTGAATCATGTCTTTTGCTGTTTGCCTGTCACTGTTGCTGTTGTTGTCGTGTCACCAGGGGCTCACCTCGGGCTTACATGTCCTCAGGAAGCAGCCTGATGTCGGATTAACCGGCTGGTCTGCAAACACCACACGAGTCATGATGTTTAAAAGCAGCAACGATGAGGTTGGTGAGATTTTATCCAGCAAATGTTGACTGTCAGTTAAATTGTGCAATTTTTTGTGTGTGTGTGTGTGTGTGCTGTTTCCTGGTTAATATTTGTGTGCAGTGTGATTTGTAGCTGGCAGGTTGTCAGCAGGTTTTTTTTTTAAAGCTGTCACATGATTAGTAGGATTACATGTATGAATAAAGTTTTACTGCTGTGTTCATAATGTGTAATATGTGCATGTTCATAAGGGCAGACCAAACCTGTACATGTCAGGGTCGTCCACATACAGCTGACAGATATGAGTCTGTAGATACTGTGTTTAAACTTCTGTTATATCTTGTGTGTGACTGACTTTATTTGAAAAATAATGAGAAATTAATTAGCATCACAATTTAACAGACTTTATCCCGACTGGATTATCAACTATGCAAAGCTGATCTTTATCCTGGGGCCCCAGACCCCATAGGCACCAAGTCCACTATTACAGTAGCACAATATAAGCTAGAATAATAAAGCTTTGACTTGGCCATTGAACTTGTGTCTAAGTCTAATTTTAAAACCTTTATCATATCAGTTCATATTTGGCGTTGATGATATACACTTCCTTGCCGCCTTCACACTCTAGTACAACAGCTCTGGCACATATTCTAGCTTCAAGAGCACTTTAAGAGGTGTTAATTCCACTGTGTGTTTATTATCGAGGTGTTAGTAGTGGTGGTGTTGTACTGGACTGCATTATATTGAAATGTGTTTCTAGTGTCCCCCTTTTGTTTGTAAATGGGGGTGAGAACATTAGAGATACCCCCCCTCAAGTACAACTCCAATAATAAACATATAGTTAGGTTAATACCTTTCTGACAGTGTGAACCAAAGCTGGACATTATTATCCTTGTAAAGGTGGAATTTATGGCTGAGCTGCTGTACTGGATTGCATTATATTGTACAGGTGTGCCTAATAAAGTGGCCACCGATGGAGCCAACTGGGACAGTATTTTATTTAATGTCAGTGTGGGAGGAATTTCTCCATTATTTCTAATCAATGAGCAGGACTACTTTATAGCAGTATTGGATATTGTTTTTCTTCTGAACTCTTCCAGGAAAATGTATTATCATCAAATAAATATACCATAATAGAGGATTTTATCTTTAGTCCTCACTACACGCTGAATATCCCTCAGTACTGTTATGTTTTATCAAATTTCCAGCATAGGAGTACTGGTTGGTTTCTTTGCTTTTGGGCAAAATATTACAAAGTTATCACTTGTCTGTAATGTGTATTTTACATGGTTGGTACTTAATACAAATGTATAAATGCACAATTATAGAAGGTAAAAACAGAGACTAACAGGGACCCACTGAACAATTTAGTAACATGTCACATCCTGTTGTCACACTTATTTTTAATAACTTAAGTCTGCGAGTTGTGTCGTATGTTGAGGCATTTAGACGAGGAAATAGGACTGATGTCTTTCTTTTTGTGTGTTCAGTGCGACCTCGTGATGAACCTCAGTGCTGCAGACCGCTGTGCTTTTGTGAAGAACACACCGGACTGTAGCATGGAAGATGGCTTCATCAGCTACCTTCGAGTGGCCTTCTGTCTGCTTCCTCCCAACCTCGTACCTCTCACCATCACTCTCTGTGTAAGACCGGTTTGTGTGTGTGTGTGGATAGTTTTCATGAAGAAGCAGCATTAAAAATCTTCATCTCAGCACTGGCAGATCTTTTGAGGAAGTTGAATTCACTGCAGGAGAACAGGGAATGATCAAACTTCTGATTTACCAACTATCATTTCACTCTTTGCTAAATAATGGGCTTTTGTAAGACTGTTTAAAACTTCTTGAATTTCCCCTTTTTGCAGCATAACGAATCAAGAGGTCACACTGGAAATACCTTTTTAATGTGTGTGTGTGTGTGTGTGTGTGTGTGTGTGTGTGTGTGTGTGTGTGTGTAGAAACCAAATGGTCTACGTTAGAGATTAGGAACAACGGGATCAGTGTAGTTGAACAAGCAAACATGTTTGTCAAGGTTTTGTTTGAGTACGACAGACTCCAGCAGCACTTCTATGTACTTCTGTGTGTGTAAAGAAAACAACTGTCTACCACACCTTTTACTTTCTTCTTCTTTCCACAGGTTATATGGCTGCTATTTTTGTTTGTCATTCTTGGACTCACAGCGTCTAAATTGTAAGTTCAATTTTTCAATTCAATTCAATTTTATTTGTATAGCGCCAATTCATAACAGAAGTTATCTCAGGACACTTTTCAAAAAGAGGAGGAAGACCAAATAAAAAAAAAAAAAAAAAAACAAAAAAAAAAGGTGTCTCTCATGTTTCCAGTGTCAATGTGTGTCCCACAAGCTCCCCTTCATCTGCCAAGGCCAGTCCGTAACAGCTGGCATAAGTTAGTCATTCTTACTGACTGATTTTCAGCTATGGAGAGTGTAACACAACATTTACAGGCACTAGTATGTGCAGGCTACCCACACACATTCATGCTCTCAGTGCAGTCAGCTTAATAGTCACATGACTTTAGAGAGCTTTTTGTCATTGTGAGATTTCTTGAAAGGAAGCACAGTTTGTTCTGTTTTTCTACCGCACCCACCCTCATTTCACACACTGAAGAAGCTGCTGTATGCTTTGCATTTCCATTGACTCGCCTCTTTTCCCCACTGTTTCTCCTCAGTTTCTGTCCCAACCTGTCAGCAATCTCCACCAGTCTGCACCTCACTCACAATGTGGCTGTATCCTTTTTTATCTGTACATCCCTCAGAAGTTCATGGTGTTATGCGCAGTCAGTACAAATCAGTGAGACTGCTGATTCACCAGCACAGTTCCCCTTCTCTCTGATTTTTGCAGTTTCACTTGTCATACTTGGTAAATTATGTCTTCGTGAAGAATATTTTCCTTGACTGGTGTTTGTGCTAAGGGCGTGACATTTCTGGCTCTTGGTAATGGTGCTCCAGATATCTTCAGTGCCATTGCAGCCTTCTCCCACCCACACACAGCTGGGCTGGCTGTCGGAGCCTTGTTTGGTAGGCACAGTTTCTTGCACACACAAAGATAAATGAACTCAAGTTTTTTATCATGAAAATCGGATGTGCCTGATCTTGCTCGCTTTCTCTCCCTCCAACAGGAGCTGGTATATTTGTCACCACGATAGTCGCAGGCAGCGTGGCGCTGGTCAAGCCTTTTGCTGTGGCCTCGCGTCCATTTCTGCGTGATGTCATCTTCTACATGGTGGCGGTGTTTTGGACTTTCTTCATGTTGTACAGAGGAACCACGACACTGAGTGAAATACTTGGTAAACACACACACACACACACACACACACACACACACACACACACACACACACATATGGTTGGTACAAGTGTATTTTTTGCCTTCTTGATCAGATTCTTAGTTGCATATTGGTCCTCTTAGGCATTTATATTGAACCGTCAATGAGGTGTATTGATGAATACATATTTAAAATTATAATATACCACATGTAACACACTTATTCTATGCTACTGGTAAACTTTACAGAAAAGGATGTTTTTCTTTTTGTCCCTAGCCTCAGAAATGTTTTGCTCCTGCTTCAGAGCCATTTGGTTGTGTGTTAGTTACCCATCAACATATTTCACTGAGGCTTTATTGAAAGTTAGGCCATGAGCCAAGAAAAAAGTGATGTTAGTTTATTTATTATAGGTACAGGAAGTTTTTGACATTAAATCTAAAATCTTCATACATTTATATAAATCTAACACCCATGATTTTCTATCAATTAAAAAAAATCTGAACAATGTCTTTTATTTTCTTAAAAATGTAGAGGATTTTGCAGCCTTGCAGGGTGGTGGTGTGTCTCAGAGTGCTTTTCTGATCTGGTGCCAACATCCACCGCCTCAGGCTGCAATCTCACCTTTTTTTTTTTTTTTTTTTTACCAAAAACAATCCCAGAATGCAGTTCAAAGAGTCACCCAACCAGATTCTGTGAATCACCGACTCTTCTGGGGGCACATGAGGCCACTTGCAATCATCATTATCCCACATCCATATTTAGATATTTCCACACAAACTGCAGACTGCATTGTACAGTGTACTGTGTATGTAACCATGTATCAAGTTTCAAGCTCTCAGTATTTTTAAAAAACGCTGTGACATTCTCATCTTCATCTCCTTTTTCTAGGGTACCTGGCCCTCTATGTGGTGTATGTATTGACTGTTATCATCAGCGCGTACATCTACAACCGGCAGAAACATTCGATGAACTCAAGTGTCCGTAATGTTGCACATATCCCAGGTTAGAACCATAAATACATATATACATACAGGCAATAAAACCACAATTGGCAGTGATTCTAGCTTTTGTTTTTGCTGCAGAGTTTCACTCGTCTGACTCATCTGACGAGGACGTGCCCTGCCTGACTGGTGGGACCATCCAACACGAGTATGGTAAGAACGCAGGACCTTTTATAAACCACAATATAAGTTAATATGCACCAGGAGTTTTCTGCATGATGAGGGCCATAACGTGTGTGTGTGTGTGTGTGTGTGTGTGTGTGTGTGTGTGTGTGTGTGTGTGTTTCAGTCTCAGAGTACAGGCCACTTCTGCCTTACTCTGAGTCCACAGGCAAGATCCTGCTGACCTCACTGAACCCGATCGACAGCAGGAAGTGGAGGAGGAAATCATGGAGCTGGAGAGTCCTCAAAGTACTGAAGGTGTGTGTGACAGATACAAGTAGCAGTGTAAAAAGCTCAATGTCTATATTAATGTGGTTGGTACACCAAGTCAAAGTACTGAAAATCTATTTAAAACAGTTCTTGTAATGTTAATTATCTTACCCATCAGACACCTCTAGAGGTGCTGCTGCTGCTCTGTATCCCTGTGGTCGACCCTGATAAAGAAGACAAGAACTGGAGACGTCCACTAAACTGCCTTCATCTGATCACTGCTCCCCTGGTGTGTGTGCTCGTCTTCCAGTCTGGAAAATGTAAGTGCATCAGCTTTCATGATAAAGGCAGCATGACATACTGTAGCAGCCATAGTCAGTAGTAATCAGTTTTTTTCCCCCAAATTTATGTCTAGATGTAGATTATATGATCCAAGGGCAGTTTCCCCTCTGGGTGCTGATTCTGCTGTTGGGACTTTTCCTGTCTGCTATTGTCTTCTGCACCACCACTAATGACTGCCCCCCCAAATATCAGCCAGTAAGTATCTGTGGAGAAGGAGCAGACATTGTCAAAAATATAAAGGGGGTAGGGTGGATGGGGGTCAGGGAGTGCCACTTTCAGGTTTTGTACACATATGACAGGATGCAATCGTTTATAGTTGTCAGTCTACAGCTCATCTACATGGTAGCAGCTCTGTGCGGCTCCACTGAGGCACAGCAAGCGCTTTGAGTTAAATGCCGACATAAGCATGCTAACATTTGCTAATTGGCACTAAACACAAAGTACAGCTGAGGTTGATGAGAATGTCTTTAGTTTATGAGGTATTTGGTCATAAACTCAAGAATTGGACAAATAAAAAATGTGACCTGGTGGCAGTGCTAAATGAAAAGTCCGAGGATTGACAAAGCCAGTATGCGTCATCCTCTGGGGACCACAAATATCATATCTGTATCAAATTTCCTGGCAATAGTTGTTGAAATATTTCTGGACCAAACAACACTGCCATCCCTAGAGCAACGCTGCTAGTGTGGCTATAAATATATATACTAGTGATTGCTCTTAAAACATTTTTATTACCAGATTGGAAATGTGTAGTGTCGTATTCACGCTCTGATGATGAAATCTGTTGCATGTGATTCTAAGTTTGTCTCTTTCCCTCTCCAGGTATTTGCTCTTTTAGGCTTCGTGGTGAGTGCAGTGTTGATCAGCGCTGCAGCCTCTGAAGTGGTCAGTCTTCTGCACATGCTCGGTGTGGTGCTGAGTCTCAGCAACACTGTGCTGGGGTTGACTCTGTTGGCCTGGGGCAACAGCATAGGAGGTGATATATACATTTTTTTATTGATATATAACCAATTTCTTTTTTGCAAAACATATAGGATGCTTGTACTTAATATATTTAACATGATGTGTATGCATGTTTCTTTTTCAGACTGTTTTTCAGACATCACCATTGCCCGGCAGGGTTACCCCCGGATGGCCATATCTGCCTGCTTTGGAGGCATCATCTTTAGTATCCTTATTTTTATATGAGTATGTGTGAGGCATGTGTAACAGTGGCTGGTAATGACTGCATCCTTGACTGTATTTCCTTCAGACATGCTGTTTGGAGTGGGTTTAGGGTGTCTGCTACAGATGCTTAAAACACACTCGTTTGTGCAGGTAATCTCCTCCTCAAACACACATCAAGAGTTTATAATTGTGGTCAAACATACAGAGAAATATAGAAGTCGCAGATACATCAGACTGTTTTGGAACATGAAGATAATGATGATGCATCTTTTGTCTCTTTCTCTTCCTCAGTTTGAACTAGAGGGTTTGTTGACGTGGGTTCTAGCAGGATCTCTTGGTTTGTCTTTGGTCCTATCCTTCGTCATTGTTCCACTGGGCCGGTTCCACTTGGGTCGGGCCTACGGGATCTTTCTCCTCGTCTTTTACGTCATCTTTCTTCTCATTGCACTACTCACAGAGTTTGGCAAGATCCACTAATGTGTCAATCCTCCCTTGATGCAAAAGGACACACTGGAACAGAGGCTGCAGAAGAATGGACATCCTCTTTTACGCATAATATTAATGCACTATTTATACAAGAGTCAACACTTTGTGCACTTGCCTGCTACCCAGAGCCACCCTGTGGGGGTTTCTGAAACCAAGCAGGCAAATCAATGACTTCTCTGCTCAGGGAGAGCTGAAAATAATCATCACACTGTGCCTTTATTCAACCTGTTGTTTGTGCTGACTGGAGCTGCGATGGCACTTTGTGAATCCAGAGGGAAAACAAAGGTTGTAGAAATTTGTACTTTAAACATTGTAAATTAACTTAATGTACTGTAAATCAAAATGTTAAAATGACCCTGTACAAAGCTGCTTTGGGGGAATTAAATAATTTTGGTTTGGTATTTGTTTTTACAGGTCATACAGTAGTAATACTAGTCTTTCCTCACTTTCTGTGTTAAATTATTGTAAGTAAATAAGCAGTTACCAGCAGTATTATACAGCAAAAATACATCAATGACAATTTGAACAGTTTAATAAAATCCCTTATTAACTAACTCAAATACATTACAGAATAAGAAGTTATATAAAAGTAAAATATTTTGAGTCTGTAGAGACATTAGTTAGGAGATACACCGTACTGGCTTTGTTGGGTTGAGCTAAAGGGAGTGTAATTGTTTATACTTTTGGTCTTTAGAGAACTTAAGTTGTGTCTGTGTTAATACTGATCATATGGGCCATTAAACTAAGGCATCAGGTTTAAGTACTACATGTCTTACAAGAGGTCACAAAAGGCCTACAGCAGTATACGTACACAACATACAGTAGTACTACAGGCTCCCTGGTAGTATTTGCTGCAGTCTTTGAAAAGGCCAAAAGAGGGCAACATTCCCACTTCACTGGTTGAGCGACAGACCTGTCTTTCTGTCTGTAGTGTTATTAACTCGTCTCACTCTTGCATCAGTCCAAAAGGCCCCGGACTTGTTTCCCACTGTGGCAAATGGGGAGCGTGGGGGAAGTGGAAAAGACCTGGAGTGATTGGGGTTTTGTAGCATTTAAAACGCAGAGATGGTGGCGTGATATGTACCGCTTGCAAACTGTGCGTTAGTTGATGCTGTGAGGTCCAGTCTGTGAGTTGAGCTGAGGCTCTGGAAAGGAAGACGGTTCAGAGACGGGACTGTCCAGATCCCGCTCCAGGCTTTGGTCTGGCTGAGGCAAGTTTTCCCTTGAATACTCTGCATACCACTCCTGGAGGAACAACGTGTAGAAGAGGTTAGGAGGTTACCTGAGACCAACTACTGTTGTGGTATGCAAGATTATTTAATTAGTTCTTTTACCTGTATCTCCTCCTCATACATTTTAATGCTGAGGTCGCTCTTCGTCCTAGACCTACGACCTAGATACACAAGAGATGTGTGCTGTACACACCAAAGCAGAAGGGGAAAGCTGGTTAGTGGGACTTCATTTGAAGAGCAGAGAACAAAGAGTTTATTGTGTGTGTTTGTGTTCATTCTTACCCCACCCCTGTCCATTGCTTGTAGGACTCCCTGCAGAGAGCTCAGGGAGGACAGTCCTGGGCAGGTCTGTTTGTACAGCTCCAGAGTGGCCAGAGCTTCATCACGACTCACCTCCACTTCAAATACTATCCCGTTCTCATCTAGAGCATGAACACACACACAGACATTAAAATGACTCACACACCACACTGTACTTCACACAATCACGGCAGCTAAATATCAGTCAAATAAGCATTTTATCTGAGTTTATGTGGAAGAAATACTCCAAATATTAAAAAATACATGAAGGCTTTTGTTCTAAAGTGCTATACATTTTCTAAATGTGTCCACACATGCACTCAAAGACAAAATGCCCTGTAGTGTGAGTGTGTAAACACATTTATGCCCCTAGAACATGAGTTACACTTGGTCCCACCTTCTGGGTTCTCCACCGGTTCCCGGTTCTTGCGGCTGTAGTTCATGCGGAACACAAACGCATCGAGAATGAACGCCACAATGATGGTCATCACCACCTGGAGAGGGAACAAACAGAAACCACATACAGACATCACATCCACAAGCACTGCATATAAAGACCATATAAAGGCAAAAACGCAGGGCACATTTCCACAGACATATCACATATGACGGCACAAGCCTCACCATGGTGACTATGTAGAAGGTCATGAAGTAGAGCCGGCTCCAGTGGCTCGTCATAGAAGTGACTCCTTCCTGTGAGAGAGTGAATAAACAGCCGTCAAACAGTGACACCAGCTGATCAGTGACAAGACGGCAGAGAGACCACAGATAAATGATTTGATCTTACCATGGTAATGTACCAGTTATTGACCACAGTCAGCTCAAACAGAGTCACTGCAGAGACATAAAACAAGAGGAATTAAAAAAAAAATTTAAAAAGAGAGTAAATGTACACACCAAGAGACAAAAAAAAACTTGCTGCCATAAATACTCTAAATCCATACTCCCCAAACAAAAGTGCTATTTACTCCTGTTAGAGTAACTGTTTATAAAAAGTACAGGGCCTAACTGTTTGAGGAAATTATTCAACCTTTTTTCTTTTTTTTTTTTTTTTTTAAATAAAACAACATACTCGTGACTTGTTTTGAAATATTTATGTCTTCGGTTGGAACTTAATAAGCTAGGGAAGTCAGAAAGTACTAAGAGGTCGACTAACACATTAATAACTGTAACAGAATATAGTCAGGAATTACCAAAGCTGCTGAGAATGTTGTTGAAATTATTGAGATAATAATAGCCTTCTTCCAGCACTGTTTTGTTGCCATAGGTGATGTTGATCTGTCTATAGGAGTCTGCCACTGTGCTGGTGCTGAGAGATAAAAACAGATGAATGAAGAATGGTTAGTGGAAGTCTATGTAATTTATCCCAAATCGAGTCCAATTTCAATTCCTACACATGATGGCGTGACTCACTTGCAGCAGTTGGGGTAAACCACACCTGCGAAGAACTCCATCCCCACAATAGCAAAGGAGTAGTAGAAGATGATTAAGGTCAAGCCCAGACTCGCCATCCTGGGGAAGAGCTCAAACATGGTGTCCAACACATTACGATACCGCTGCTTTATCTTGAACAACCTGTGACAGACCGAAGACCAAAATTAAAACATATGGAAGAAAATATGGATTAATTCTATTAAGTACATGCACACTATACTCCTGGAGTGAGAAATAAAAGCCTACCGGAGCAGCTGAAATGGTCTGAGAACTACAATAAAATAAAAGGGCTCCATATCGAAGGCAAGAGCAATCAGGCCCAGGAAGGCAAACACTGTCACTGAGAAGTCAAACCTGGACAGATGAACACAGTAAGGATTAACACCAAAAACAGACCCAGTGTTTGGTACATGTTCAAATACATTTTTGTTGTGTTTTCACAAAATAGCCACATTAAAATTCAAAAAACGTTTTAGTAAGAGTACTGAATGCAAATGTACAGACTCAAACACGACTATGGATTTATGCAGTCCAATGTTAACTGCATTGTTCAGCATAACCTTTGAGTTTAAAGTCAGAAGTTTTGGATTCAGTACTCATTTAATATGTTAATAAATCAACCCAGTATCCAAGTTATTACTTACAGATTCCACCCAGAGCTGAAATAAGCCATCGGCCCCAAACCTGTAATTTTCAATAACACCTCTACACCATAAACTAAAAGTGGAGGGACAGAGGCAGAGTTAATATTAGTATAAGTGTAAACAACTTGAATTAATTATTGACGCCCTCTATGATCAGTTTTACAACATATGAATATTGTCATGATTTTCTGATGTGAGTGGAAGTCAGCAGGCAGCCTACTCACTGGTCAGGAAAACAATGTAACTCCAGGGGACAATTCTGGACCAAGAAAATCCACCTGCAGGAGGAGAGAAAGAAAAAGAAGGTGAAAAGCTCTGTAGTGTAAAAGACTTTCCTGTGTTTATATCGGGAGAGATCTTACTACTCAGCGTGTACGTCTCCACGAGGATCCACACACCGTTGATGGCCACCACCACATCTGCAGACACAAGGAAAGGTTAAAGGGTTTATGATGAGAGACTTTGCCTCGGTTTCCCTGAGGACAGCTGGGAGAATGTATAGGGTTACACTTACACATGACATATTGGAAGGCCTTTGACTTCACAAGCAGATTGATGCCTATTAAAATAGAGAAGAACGGAGTGAGAATAAGGAACTCAGACGTTATGTTGTTTGATCAAATACCAAAAAAAATTTTAAAAAGAGAACTAGCCTTTAAAAATGAGGAAGGTTGTGTGTGGAAGGTCATCAAACCAATGTTCCCCACTGCGTCGTGCCTAAACAACATATACAGTATATGTACATTAAAAACAGACAACAAAAGAGAGTGAATTATAACTACACAGTATAGTTATGAGGCTACTTACCTTCCATTTGAGGCCAGTGACCTCATAGAACTTATAAAAGTCCTGTAAACTGTAGCAGAAAAGACTCCCGTTAAATTACATGAAAACGTAAAATTTGGGATTAAATGCAGAAGGATTTTACCTGAAAAAGTGTGTGTAAGGCAAATCACCTGAGCATTGGAGCCCCTGAGGTGTTAAGGGCTTTATATGTGAGGAAGCGGTCTCTTGCAGACATCCGTGGTCTGTAAAATCGCATCAGACCGTCAAACTGTTTCAGCGACACGCCCAACGGCCTCTAGAGGAAAAATAACATCAACACAGACGAACGCAGCCACCGTGAATGCTTTATAAAATAAATCATTTGTACCAAATGTACGTAAGACTACAGAGAACAGTGAGGTCGTACCTGCCGGCTAACTAACAGCTGAAAGGCGTGGTCAATAGCGGAGCGTTTGTGCAGCAAAAGGGATTTAAACTTCATCTTCTCGACATCATTAAACGTATCAAACACCACTGCCAAGAGCTGGAGGGGGACAGAGAAAATGACAGTGTAGTGACGCTAGTGAGCAGTCATGTGAAAGGGCTAATTGGAAGCCATGTCTATTTATTAACAGGTCTGTGGGATAGATCAGGCTGGATAATTTTAGAAGTGGTGAAAACAAGGCTATTTGTACCAGGTTCATGACGAAGTAGAGCTCTATGGAGAGGTAAACAATGAAGAAAACACAGGACCAGCGGTTCTTGGAGTAGGATGGCATCATCACGTCAGGAAAACTACAAGAAAGAGGGAAGCATGAGATACAAGAGTCACGAGATACAAACTGTGGAATCAGCCTAAACACACATGTAGTGAGGCAAATGCATTTATGATGAGCTCTGTAAGTAGGAAGTAATGTTAGCATGTCGTGTGTGTAAAGATAACTCAACAGTACTACGTGTACTGCTGTGCTTACTTTGCTGTGGTCAGCAGCACAAACAGACTGACGAGGCTGTTCTCCAGAGTGCTGAAGTACTGTGGCGAGAGGAGAGGGTTTCAAGTCAGGAAACCACAACAGACACAAAGCTGAAACAAAGAGATCAACCACCCAAAGTCCCCAAACTTACATAACTCAAATAAACCAATGTCAGGCAAACTAAAGATTAAACATACCGGGTCAGTGGTGTTTGGAGAGAAGAGGCAGAAACCTGGGAGGAAACAACAGCAGTCAAGCACACAGAATAGAACAGAAAACCCTGTTTTTCTCTGAAGACAGTAGATGTATTTATAAAACTGGTTTATAATTGTAAGTAAAAGAGGGCAGAAAAGAAGCAACAGCATTTAATATACTTTAAGATAACACGTTTTCTTACCCAAGATAGCAAATATAACCATGAAGAAGAGCAGCAGTAGGAGGATGTCAATAAAAGGTGGAAGGGACTGGAAGATCTGACGCAAGTTTCTGATTGGATGAAAGAAACGTTGTCAGTGACGACTGCGTTTAACATTTAAATCAGTGGTGTCTGTATGTTCATGGAGTGGGACAAAAAAAAACATGTAAAAAGGGACATAAACCATGAAGGAATAAATTATTAATGTAGCTATAATAAGTGAGCAGTGAATGTTATTTCTGATAGACGAGTCCTGTCTAGGAATTAAATAGTTGGTAGCTAAAAGAAACACCTAAATGAATTCTCAATGTCAAGTTAAATGGAGCACAAATCTAACTGAGCTTGCAAGCTTACTGTCTTTCATATGAAAAGAACCATGTTTGGAGCATGGGAAGGGTAGTTGCTCTGTATGGTCTTTCCTCATTCTCTCTAGTCTCTTCCAGTACACAAAAAGACTTGTGTGTGTGTGTGTGTGTGTGTGTGTGTGTTACTCTGAAAAGTTGATTTTTTTCTGTTTTGTGGCCATGACTTCGACCTCTCTTTGTGAATCTGTGAGTGTTTGTTTTAGGTCATTGTGTACCTGCGCACAGCACCACAGTATCTACAGTCCACCAGGAAAATTGGCCGGAGAGCTCTGGTTACTCGCACGTGAGACGTCTGTCTGATCAGAACCACTATGGCCTCCACGAACTGTAGCAGTAACACACACGTCTGTACAAGGAAAAGAGATAACGTGAACAATATACACCAGCGGAAGCTGCATCCCGCACAGCAGTGGACTTAACCCAGGGGTAGACAACCTGCTGGATTCTTACATTCTCCAATGTGTAGCAATTACATACAGAATAGAAAAATGTTTGGGGCGCCCTGGTAGCTTATCCTGTAGAGCTGGTGCCTCATGTACCTTTGCTGCAGCGGCCATGGGTTTAACTCCGACCTGTGGCCCTTTGCTGCGTGTCACCCCCCCCCGCCCCTCTCTCCCCCTTTCCTGTCACTCTACAGTTGTAGATAGAGGCAATAAAACTCCCCAAAATATTAAAGAAATTAGCATTATAAGGCTCAAATAGGTTTTGTGGCTCCAGCCAGACTTTTATTTTTGGCCACAAATGGCTGTTTTCGTTTTTTGATAGCTGACCCCTGACCTACGCTTTCGAGAGCAAGTTACTGACCCTGACTTCTGACTTCACTGTAGAGCAAGGCAAGAAAAAATTAAACATGATCATGCCATCAGAAAGTGCCCATCATGTATGAGTTACCTTCACCATGGTCCTCTTGTGTCGTATGAAGGTGTGGAAGCCTAACCAGCGGAGTTTCATGCATAGCTCAAATGCCACCATGACCAAAGCCAGCAGCTCCAGAGTGGCATGGACCTGCAGAGGTATCAAATAAACGGGGTATTTTTTTTAGAGGAAACAGCATGTATTTTGTGTGAGTGTGTTTTTGTCTCTAGATATTCACTCACGTAGACATCCAGGCGCAGTGAGGGCACAGCAGGAGCTTCACACAGCGACAGCATCATCAGCAGTAGGCCTGTCAGCAGCTCCATCATGTAGAACAGGTGGTTGTGGGCAAACAGGTACGCTGCCAGTGCTTTTGGGTTTCGAGGATGGGTGAAGAACTTATCGTTGTTCTCTCCCTCCTGTATATGAAATTGAAAGGACAAACACACACACAAACCACACAATGTGAGCATTTTATTTCATCTTATAAAACTAATGTCCCACCGCTATAGAGCAGTATCTGTGGTTAGCATAAGTTAAATCTGGCATATTGGTTAAATACCCATACTTCCAAATATTCAATTCAGTGTTTTGTTTTAAATTAAAAATGACCATGGACCATATCAGTGCTCTTACAGACATTAAATGAGTAGTGGGCAAACTGGGGGTTAGCACATACCAGGAGAACAATCATTACTGTTATTAGTTCCACTTTTGCTTCCTCTGCTGTAATATGTGCTGTGAATTTTCTTCTGGCTTCCAAAGGAGAATAGTCAGAAAGTGCTGCTGCTTTACCTTTCAGCACTTGATGTAAAAAAAATGTGCGATGTGATGCGAAGCTACTGAACAAGAACCATTAAAACACAAAAAGCTGGCACATACCGTGTTTGCTTATCATTAAGTATGGTAAATTTTATTTATCTACAAAGCTGTACCTTTTCTTAAAGGTAGCCTGTAGAGTTTTTGACCACTAGTAGCGCTGTAGAGCAATGTTTTTATAAGTGTGTCCCCCTTTTGTTTGCGAACACGAAATGTGGCTGTCAAAAATGCTTTTTTGAGACCAGTTCCACGCTATTCCGCTGATCACAAATTTGGAAGTGTAACAAAGCCAGTGAGGAAGAAAAAGACTGCAAGCTTAAAAATATGGATATAAACAATGTCCAATTTGCAATATGTACAATGAAAAGGCCTGTATTTGTGTGACTTTAAGTTTTTGTACTAACACCAAACAGAGAACTGATAATTGGTCAATCAGCCAAGAAGTGTGTCCCTACTTCCTTTTGTATTTTGAAGTTCCTTGTATCTTAACATATCTTAACTTTAGTACTTCCAGCATCTGTTCATGAAGTAAATATAGCCCACAGAAAGAGCACAAGGTTTAACCATCTACAAGTAATACAGTGAGTAGGTGTAATAAAAACCATTATATAACCATGTGAACTCCATGAGATCATGAGTTGCAGTCGCCCTGTATACTCAGTAACTAACAAATGACACAATCCACTGCTTGTGAATACCTGCAGGTAGATGGCTGCCTCTTGGTAGTTCATCTCCCAGCTTTGCCGTAAGGAAACATTTTGGGCTCTGTGGTTTTGTGGCCCGGGTGTTGAGATCACAGCGTTGTTCACTATGTCATAATTGCCTCCTCCTCCATCTGGAAGAAAACACTCAAGTGTCAGTGTGTTGATACAGCTCATATTTATGTGGAAAACTAACTTTAATTAATTAATCTTTCTTAATCACTGTATATTGGTCACACACAAACACACACACAGTACATAGAGGGGTATGTGCCTACCAATGAAGTTAAGTTCTAACTGTGAGGCATAGGAGGAGATCACTACTGGACTCTCATTATAGGTCTGCTCTTCATGGAAATCAGCTGCCTGCCCGCATAAGCACTCCATTGATGAGTTTGGAATTGTCTGTACGCCTCAGCTGTGTTAAAGTATTATGATCCCTGAAGTCCACAGCACAAGGGTGTGTGTGTGTGTGTGTGTGTGTGTGTGTGTGTAAGTCATTCACAGTGCACTGGTCTTATTCCAGCATCCACACACATCTGGGGGATACAGATGGCCAAACATTCCACTCAGGCCTGACGCAAACTCCAGAAACACAGTCACAGTTGGAGTCCAGATGCGAGTCCTCACAGATCCAGAAATATCCAGGCCTAGCTGCGGTATCAAAGTGACACTGGAGACCGAACAACATTCAAAACAATTAACAATGCTTGTGAAGTTCAGTATTTCTTTGACAACCAGTTGCTTCTTTAGGGAAAAGTTTCTGTCACCTTGATGAGAGATACTGCCACCAGTGACAGTGAAATGTGACTTACACGCATGCACACTGAAACTACCCTCCTGCTTTCGCTGCAGAGTTTGAACTTTGAACCCAGTTTTGCCAGTCAGTGAGAAAGTGCCGTGTTTGCATTGATGTCACATTGTCTATTACGCCTCCTTCCTGCCACAGACAGGATACAGACACGAGACAGATAAACCACAGGATGAATCAATCCTGCGCTACCATAGGAACTGTGACTAACTTCAAAAGACAGGGAAGACATCTATATATCTAATAACACTGAGAAAGCAGCATGTCATAGTAGGACGTAACACAGAATTATATGACTAACTTATGAATGAACACAGATCTACACGGTTTTCAAAATGAACTCAAAAAGTACAACTGAAAAAAGATTAAATCCAGATTAACTTTCTAATAATGTTAATTTACTCTCTCATAAATAAAAATCTTTTTTTTTTCGTGAATAAGCGACGTGTCTTTCAGCAGTTACATATTTTAGTCCTGCGCGAGACTAGCTGGGTTCTCTTCCCACGCACAGCACATCACATGTTTCTGCTTCAGGCACGACTCCTTGGAATAAAACGTAGTGGAGAGCATATGAGTCTCTGAAGCGCAGTCACAGACATTTCCTCTCTGCCATGACAGCAGCAGATTGGGCTCAAGTGTGAAGATCAAATTCCAGTCCAGCAGCAGTCTGGCTGTTATCCTGACAGGAGTACTGTCCGTGTCCGCCGTGTGCTATTCCAGCCCCTCATTTGTTTGAGAACAATAACATGTTTGGAGCTCCCAGTCAAAAACACGGTGGGTTCAGCCTCACAGAAACACAAACAGGCTCAGCAGTCATGACTGTTTCTCCCAGGACAAATAAAATAAAAACAATTTAGTGGTGATCTGAAGGGTCCTAACCACCAGCAATAAAACTGAACGTCACACTTCTATCCAAGCATCTGATTTGTCACTGAGGTGATATAATGTAGCCTCCTTTTCTCAGTGTCCAGGTTCAAACTCCCTCCTTTTCCAGAAAGCTCCAACAGCAATCAGAAAGAACAGTTTGACAAGTCCTCCTTGTCCACCACTCCCAGATATCCTGAGAAAAAAAAATCCCTCTCCTCTTCCTGTTCACCTCCAGAGCCAGAGAAAATGATCCAGTAAGCTCACACACAGAGACACACTTACACACAGGCTGCAGACATTCACACACACATACACACACAACACACACATGCTGCCCCATGAGCACCAGGGAGGGGCTGAGGGGGGTGTATGGTCTGCTGAGGCAGCAGGTTCTCAGATGGGTCATTTTGTAGCTTATATGTGAGGAACACAAAGGCAGCAGGATTACTATGTTGAGTGGATGCATGGATACACATACATACTGCACGCACACACACACACACACACACACACACACACACACACACGTGATCACAGAGCCCGGTGGAAAGTCTCTTTTCTCCATTAAAGCAGTGGGGCCTGGACGTGCAGCATGTGTGCAGCTGACTGTCAACATTAAACGGCTTCAAACTGCTCAAGTGCACATCTGGTAAGTTGACGAGACACAAAATATACTTAAATATTCTTTTATAAACAACATTATACAATACTAGAAATGCAGAACGATCACCACTCAGGCATGAATGCACTGATAGTGAAAACAGAGCTTCCGTAGCGCTTCATGAAAGTTCACATCTGTTTTTCTGTTCACTGAATCTCTCAAACAGAGGAAACCAACCACTCAGTTTATTTGACGCAAATGTTTTATAGAGGTTTGAATGCAGTTTGCATGTTGAGTGTGATATTTTGTCCACACCATTTATATCAGTAAAGGTAAACAAAAAAATAGAGACATAAAAGAATACAATGCAGCAGCACCAAAGGCTGCAGCCTCTAAAATGACTTTAAAGTTGAAGAAACGCCTAAAACACTTAAACATTATGACCTTTATGATGGTAGGAATGAACTGCAACTATGTTAACACTGGACTGCATTAGTTTGACCAAATTAACTGAGTGTATCCTTTAATTGCATATCTAATACCAGTGGTGTAGTGCAGGGTATCATGATTTCCAAGCTGAATTTGCAGAATTATGTAGCCGTCTCATTAGTATTAAATGCAAAATCTGCACCTCTTCTGTGGTTCATGTGAAGTTTATAAAGACCTTTACTCCCCGAAGTCAAGCTGCATAAGTTAAGTGACTTTCAGTTCAACATTTTGGCGAGCTTAATGTACAAGAGTAGTCTTTAAAATGTCACTGTTTATAAAACAGGGCGTTATATTTAGGGCATAAATTAGTATACCCGCTGCACCACTGTCTAATACCACAGCGACACCATGCAGGGGTCTAGCCATACACACATAGTTTCACATGACTCCACTGTGTCTGGGGATCAAACACTTACTCTCGTCTCCTCTCTCGGTCTCCTCGTTGAGCAGACCGCTGTTCGCTTCGTCCCAGGTTAAGATGAGAGGCACATCGTCGTCTGACTCCATGTTAGCAGATAATAACAAAGGCTACCGTTTTGAATGACAGATAACGAAAGCTTCCCAACTTATCTAAACGAGTGCATGGCTCGTTCTGCAAAAAACCGCAAGACGACTGCACATCCCAGTACTTTTATTTTGTGCGCTGTGCTATCTGAGATGATCGGGCTTGGCTACAAGTTTAAAGCGTCTGTTTTGGGGGAGAGGAAAGGCAACACATGAACTGGCCTGCTTTCAAGTTGTGTGAGGCGAGCGAGGCCTTTTGGTTGCAGATTTGGTCTTTGTCCTGTCACGGATGGCATCTGTCACCGAATCAACTGGTTCACTGTCAGTCAGGCTAACAGGCTGAGACAGTCCGTCTGCGTCCATCACGGCATCGTCACCGCGCACTAAGCTTTTTCCTGCAGGACAGCTAATGTTGTGCGTGATGCGTTTGCAGTAAAGCGGCAACACAAAGTGCAACACTTGTTTATCTAGATTAATATTTTCCGCAAGCAACGCCAGCTGACACTTTCTATTTGACGCTGCACAGAGGGCGAGATCAACAAACAGTTGCGACACTGAAACAATTCACGGCAGGCTGACCCAGGCCAGATTTTCAAAATAAAAGTCGATGGCTCTAAAACAATGCTGAGACAAAAAAAAAAAAAAAAAAACACGTAACCGCACTCGTGTGTTTATTAATTGATTCATTTATATAATTATACTGACTACACTGCTAATATAACTATATATATTATCTGCATTACGCGCTATCCGCAGTGTGCGTCAGTGTTTTGATACCGCCGCACACATCAGTGGTATCCTAGCAACAGGACAAAATCAACAAAAAAAGTCAACAATATTTTCAACATAGGAGTCGACAGGTAACTATAAGTAGCTTGATTACCTGAGTGTGTAGCTATATCTGACCTAATACAAACTAAAATTAGAACTGTGATCCTCCTTAATAAAACAAACAAACTAGGAATCGTATTTTTCAACAGTTTTATGTTAAATAACTTGAATGTTCAGACTGATGGTGTCAAATTTAAGATGTTTACATCACGTTAATCAAGCATTACATGTTAATACTGTCATGGATGACAAATGTAATGTGCCAAGATGTAAAATGTAGTTAGTTATAGTATGGAGACCGAGGTTGGTTGGCACACTGTCTGTCAGTCATATTTCTCTGGTATCATTTATATTAGAATATTAATTATTAAAGGCTATAAATAAATATGTTTTAATGTACACAACTGGTTTATAAAGGTGATTACAAAAAAATGAAGCAAACCAATACAAACAATTTTAACATTTGATTCCAACAAGAACCAGAAAACACAAACATTTAATAAAGTAGAATATATGCCCCAGTTTTTTAAACCAAACATTTTTTTAGCAATTAAGTAGGAAAGTTAAATTAATTTTGCCATTGACCATTCAAAATAATAATAATTAACTGCTTTTTAATCTTAAAATAGTTTTTAATAAAATAAATATATATTAACAGTTACTAGTTCATGAAGAGGAAAACTGTTGTTAAAATATAGTGCTGACTAACCAGTGTGCCAACCAACCCAGCTTCCACCCCAGTTTCACAATTCGTTTTGTCCGCTGACCACTTTTTACTTTCAGTTCTGTAAAACTGAAATATTACCCTGAACAAAAAAGTGAGCGAGTGCAGGTCAACAAAGCAAACATTTTGAAGTTACATTTTTGTTTCTGTGACTTTTAAAGAACCAGAAAATTGCTCTGTGCCAACCAACCCCAGTCTGCCTTACTATGGGCTGATGACTGGAGGCTGCTACAGTACATATCATAAACTAGTTCCCAATATGGGAACATGGTCTGAAGAGGTAAAATGGGGGTGTTATAGTAGCTATATGCTATAATAAGATTTGTGTTTGTGCACATGATTCTGCAAAAGTATATTCAGATTTGCAACCGTACTGAGATTACATCTTTTTTTTTTTTGTTATGTTTGCTATTTTCCTGCCATCCATTGACAGTATGTCTGAAAAAGGGGCAACAGTGCTGTCAGAGACAAATGCAAAGATCCACTCGGAGAACCACAGACTGCTACTGAAGAAGCGGCTCTCTTTAGAGGCTCAACGCGTCTTAAGCATACTGGAAACCTGCATCAGTCGAGTTGAGATTGCAGCAGCTCTGCCAGCGGCTCTTCGGTTGAACAGTGAGTCTAGTGTTGTGGACAAGGAGTTGAGCAGGGCACTTCGAGAGCATCAGATATTAGTTGAAAGGCTGGAGACGTTAGAAGGTCTCAAGCAGGAGTCAGATGGGGAACAAGAGGGAGAAGCAAGGAAGAGAGCAAGGGCTCAGCTTGAGAAGGACATCAAGAACTCTGTCAGGGATCTGCTCAGGCTCGTCCGAGGCCATCCTGATGCCATTTTTAGTTTGAGGGCAGAGCTAGGTATGGAAGAGGGAGAGAGTGAGTCTGTACTTATTAGAGTGCTGCAGCAGTTTCACAGCAATATGATAGAAAAGCTGCTGACCAGTCTGGATGACGAGCTACAGCTGGCTAAGCTCTCCAAGCAGGTGATCTCAGACCCTGCCTACCATCTGGAGGAAATAGCTTTACAGGAAAAAGAAGTTGCTGAATCCTTAAAGACAGTAGATACAGAGGTGAGGCACCAGAAGTTGGATGAAAAAGAAACCTTCACATACAACAATCTAGTCTATCACATGTATAATTTGCTGTTTCACCTCTCATTTCTCTCCTTTTGTGTAACAGATGTATGTGCTAAATAATGCCATAGAAAAAATGCAGAGTTCTCTGCAAGGGAAAAACCTACAAGATGCAGATAAGTCACTGCTTGCAGAAAAGCAGTGCCAGTCACATATCAAGACATCAAAGGTGACGCAGGCCAGTACACAGCAGAAAATTGACCAACTGAACATTCAGCTCAACAGTTTGATCCTGGAAAACAGACAGACAGAGAGAGTGCTCCAAGAGGTAATTTTAGTACATTTCACAGTAGATGTTTCGCATTTTAGTGGTTGTACCATATTTAGTTTTCATTAAAATTCATGTCAACTGTTGCTGTTTTGTTTCCTTTGGCAGAAAATCGAAAAGGTGGAGATAGAAATTGAATGCCTCCTCCAACATTTTGATGATGAAATAAAAGAAAAACAGGTACAAACTCACTCACAAAGTGTTAAATGTTTCTGTAAAAGATAATTGAGTGTGTATATTTTGGATACCGGTTCATATGCTTGGTGAAACTATATTCAGGCTGTTTAACATGATAGTTAAAGCTCTTGACTTCAGATTTAGTAGTTTAACTACATAATCTTCGTCTCTTTTATCCATCACCATCTCTCTCTCTCGCTCTCTCTCTCTCTCTCCATCCTTTTCACCCCTCAACACCATAACTGCCACCATCATCTCAGGACAAACTGGAGTTGAATGAAGTGCACTATGAACGGGAGGAGAAGGAGGTGAGGAAGCTGGAGAAACCCTTTTCTATCCTCGAGGTGGAGTGCAACCAGATCCTGGAGAGGCGCCGGCTGGCGGAAGAGAAGAGAAAGGAGGAGATGAGGGACCTGGAGCTGAAGACCAAAGCTGCTATTATGGCCCAAGCCTGGTGGAGAGGCTTTAGTACTCGCAAGGCCTTAAAGAACAAGGACAAAGGCAAGAAGGGCAAAAAAGGCAAAGGCAAGAAGACCAAATAAACCCCTGTTCAGTCTTATTACTCTGGTATTTCACAGACACTTTACCTATAGAGCATAAATGTATTTGGGTGTTTCATAAAAAAAATAATCTGTTCAGCAAATATAAATGCCTTGTTTGTTTTTGTTTTTAGTATTTTATGTATCAAACAAGGATTCACTACTTTTGTGAACTACAGAACTGAAAGAATTGCAGTACTTTCTAACTTTTTGTGGGCAACATTTAGTATCTGTATACCGTATACCTGCAGACAATATCAGACTAATCATAAAAGATTAAACAGCAGCAGGTAAGAAACATTTTTATTATTGAAAAATGCACATCATCACAAATGTCTGGCAGCTTAGACTTCTTCTCAATACTGCATTGAGTGTACAGATCAAATTGATTGACAGGTCTATGAGTCTGAGCTTTGGTGCATTTGTTTATAATTTGTGTTAGTACAGGGAGTTTAATGAGCTCCGAAAACTTCCAGCATAGCTTTACTCAACTTTAAACTAAAAACAGGCCATACAAAATAAGTTAAAACAGAGACTTATTCATTGGGTAGACCAGTTGCTGTTTTCTTTCAGTGGCCACAGGGTGGCAGTACAGGACCTTGTGTTCTGAATGATCAATTATTGACATTATATTACATTCATTTGTCAGTCCTGTGGGCAGGAGGAGCTGGGGATTGAACCACCGACCCCATAAATTATCTCATATTGTTACTAGATATACATTATGAATCAAAACAAATCAACCTAATTAATTACCACTATCATAACCATTTCAGAACTTATTATAAAGCCCTGATCATTACAGTGAGGAGCTAAATGAATGTCATACTGACAACTGAGTAAGTTTATTAATATATCTTTATCCATAGATATGTTCCACAATTAAAATAAGTAATTTTCAATTAATATTTATTTGCTGCAGTGTTTGACATGGCATATATTTTGAGATTAAATCAAGAAACATTGGTAGGTTATTAGCAGACTTCCCAGCATGCACTATACTTATGTTTAACTCTCTAGAAATCCTTTCTGCAGTTTGACTACAGTACATTTTCCAAAATTAAAATAAAAACAATTCAAACCATAATCACATTATTCTGGAACAGGACTGCTGCTGCTAATTTTACATCCTACGCTGCTCCTTCTTCAGAGTAAACATACAGTAATTCCAAAGTAGATCCAATTAGGAATCCTTGTCAAGATGATTAATCAGATGTCGATTGTTGAGTTTTACATTAAAACAAGTTTAGTGAATTCAGTTTTAAAGCAGCATGGAAACTTAATCTTTTTTGCAGTGGGTAGCGATGCTCTTTTTGGTCTTTCCTCTTTTCTGTTCTTTTCTCTTCCGTCCATCGTCGTGTCTGTGCGAGGGAGTTTGAAGCTGTTTCAGGATGTCATCGTGGTCCTGGATGAACATCTTGACCTAAGACAGTAGGAAACAGGTTGTTTTCTGTTGTTCTGGCTGTGTGTCTCTATCTCTGCTCTGTCAGCGTACACACCTTGTCCAGCTGTTTGTCTGTGTCGTTCACATCCACACCTTCCTCTCCTTCTACCTCGTCTTCTGTCATTCCGTAGAGGTTGAGCGTCGCCATCTTAATCTGACCCAGGAGGAGTGTTTTCTTTGCTGCTGTTTCCTGAACGTGGTTCCACTTCCTTTCCTGTATGTGCAATACACTGGATTATTCCCTCATTCTTTGTAGTCATTTAACTTCTGCAATACCACAATCTTTAAAAAGTCATCGGTCACATACTGTGGCATACATTACTTTGTATATATTAGCATATATTGTATATATTTTATAATTACTATAAGGTAGATAGGCTCTCATTATATTTCTATTTCCATTTTTATTTTTTCCTTATATGTATATACCTATATACACATTTATATTCTATATATATTGTGTTAGATTGTAATATAAGTATTATTTCTATTCTTTAACAACTGTAACAAACAACTTTCCCCCCAGAGATCAATAAAGTATTTCTGATTCTGATGTATATAGAATAGAAGAATCAGGGCCTTTCAGCTATCATATTCTCAGTAATTTTACATACATTTAATTGAAAAGTTTTCCTCTGTATTTGACGCATCCTATACCGTAGGAGCAGTGGGTAGCCATGGGCCCACCAACCCTGTGGTTAATGGACGACTCACTCTACCTACTGAGCCACAGCTGGTAGTTCAATCTTTAAACAACATTTTATCTGCTCATAGTTCTGACTTTGGACTCTGACATGTGGATTATGTCTGGTACCCATGTTAGAGCTTCAGAGCGTGTCCTCTCTAGCTCGGTCTGCAGTTGGGACAGCTGGTTGTTCTTGTGCAGCCGCATTAAGTGATGCTGGTCCTCCAGGGTCAGAATTGCTTTTCTCTGCTGGTCAGCCTGCTCCTGTGCCTCACTCTCCCTCTGACAGAGCTGGGCTCTAAAGTGGAGAAGACTCTCTAAATGACCCATGAGCAGCCGCACATCGTCAAACTGTAACACACATACACACACACATTAAAAGGTGTAGCCCCAAAATTAAACTCAATATTCAAAACATGTCGTAGTGGTTTTTGGGGCAGAGTATGCCTGAAACAAAGACCATCTTGCTAACATCATACAAGTTGCACTTTAATGAAATAAAACATTAACCTGTAGGGAGAAAGAACCAGAGGTGCAATTTTACACAGCAATGCCATATATTTAATTAGCATAGCTACTGTTTAGGCCAGTCACATTTTTTAAATATATCTTTTGGGTTTTTAATTGGGCCTTTAATTGATAGTGATAGCTGAAGAGTGACAGGAAAGTGGGGAGAGAGAGAGAGGCCACAGGTTGGGTTTGAACCCTGGGCCGCTGCAGCAAGGACTCAGTGTTGGTACATGGGGCAGCAAAAGATGAGTTACTGGTGCCTGTAATAGTTTAGGACCTACAGGAGTTTATATGTTGTGTGGTGCTATGAGTTTCAAAAAAGGCTTTCAACTGACAGATGGTTTAGTAATGTTTATAAATCTCTTTTTATGACCATCCCATGTAAAAACCCTTGCAGTACCTTAGTCATTTTGACCACCCACTCCATGAAGTCCTGATACAGAGTCTGTCTCTGCACCTGACGCTGTAGCTCCTGTTTCCTCTCCATCAGTTCCACATACTTCTCCTTCAGCCTCCTAATCTCTGCCTCTTTTTGAGGCCCGTCTTTCCTCTCCCTCTCTGCTTTCTGAGCAGCTCGATCAGCGTCTTCATCCTGTACAGATCGAGACAGGTGGATTTTGTTAGGCTGCTGCTGTCCAGTGAAACTGAAATCCAACATGTACAGTCTAAAACAGCAGTCGTGTGTGAAATGATTCCCCTACCATACCTTGAGAAACATGTCAAAGCCGGAGTATAACTCCTCCACTTCTTTAATCTTCTCGTGCAGCTCATCTGTGCGTTGTTTCAAACTCTCCAACACCTACATAAGAACACACACAGCAGGCAAAAGTTACATAAGCTGCTAATACTTTCTGTATGGAAACCGAGATTAATATGGAAATCTGTGTCCAAATGTTACTTGAATGAGTACAGACAGACGCAACCTCCTTTTTGCATAAAAGATAAAACATAAAAGAGAAACATCATGTCTAAAATTCTGATTAAATTAATTGCATGGATAGTATCTGTGTACAACTTTAATGTCAATTTCTTTAACTTTATTGGGGAGAAATACATCTACTAGACTCAGTCCAAACATTCATCACTTTCCAACAATGAAAGGAGTTGGGACACATTGAATAAAAGTAAGAATACTTAAGTTTTGCCAAATACAAATGCTGGGAATGAGACAATCAACTATCTTTCTTGGCTCTGATTGGTTGGTTTTGTTCAGGCCCTGGTGGATTCTTAAAATGCCATTAGGAGCACTTTTCACAGATTATCCATTTCATATAGTACTGTCAGGATATTGTGAATGTTTCAGCAAAGTATAACCTATATATATATATTTGCATAGGTCAAAACATTGGCAGAAATTGGCTGAATTATAAAACCAGAAGTGTTACTAAATGAAAAGCTGTAAGAGTATTGTTGAGCTGAGCCAAATGATCAGTCTCACTATAGTCTCATCATATATTATAAGGCTGGCTATTATCCGACCTGTGCGCGCTTCTCCTTCTTCGCGTTAAACTCTTGCTCCTCCCGGCGTTTCTCCCGTAGATCAAACAGGGCCGCGGTCCTGTCACGTAAACCTCCTGTCATCGCACCGGCCGCCCCCACAGGCCAACTCCTGTTCACACACAAGCATGGCAGCAAAGTTATTAACATTGATCGCTCGGATTGATCCTGGCAGAGGCCTCACACACCAGAACCGCTCCACATGAACTCACTGTGCGTACTGCTCCTCAAGGTCGCTCCTGGAGTCCATGGATCGGAGTTTCTGAGTTAACCTATACACAATCTTCCTCTCCTAAGTTTTCAGAGTTTCTAGGACCTCCACTTCCTCCCCTCTCGTTTCTATGGTAACCCAACTAGGAACTTTTAAAGGCACAATCCGGCATTTCAAGCTAAGAAGCCCCCCACCGGTCGCTACTGCGCATGTGCCACTCTCAACAGCAATGAGAGGGAAAGAATAAGATAAGATGTTCCTTTATTAATCCCCCTCTGTAGGAGAAATTCAAATCAGACACAGCAGCATAAGGGAATGTAGTGCAAAGAGTACAGAAGTGTATAAGTACAATAAAGAATCACAGAATAAGAATATTATAAAACATAATAGAAAAATATAAGACTATAATGAAACACACTATGCAATAATATGGTGTGCAAAATATCCTAAGCAGCGTATAACAAAAAACCCAAACTGTACATGTGCAATTTAAAGATAATAGTTCATGCAAATAGTTAGTGCGTCGTAGGTTGAAAGTTAAACCAGTCTTAGTCAGCGGGGGTTGGAGGTACTGGGTGCTGTGGCATTGTGGAGTCTGGCCGATGGTACAAACGAGCCTCCAAACCGCTTTCAGGCTCGAGGCTGGATCAGTCTGTGGCTGAAAGTGCTCCAGAGGATGACAGGGGTTGTCCATGATGGCTTTCAGAAACAAGATGGTTTTACTTGTTAGCTACTTTTATTATCAGACCCTGGAAAACAAAAAAAACGATGTGCAGAATGTTATTAATTAAGACTTTTTAAAAAACGAGTTTAACGACTTCCTGTTGCAGTCTAATGACGTATGTGATATGGTGACATCTGTAAGCAGGAGAGCTGGAAGTAGGGGTGCTGAAGGGGCTGCAACACCCCCTAAAATCTGGCATAATGAAAACCATTAGTTCATAAAAATATTCAAACTGATAATGACTTGCAGGAAAGAGGTTTTGCCTTGTTTTTTTTTTTTTTTATGTTTTATCCGCAAAAAGTCAAGCCAAAAACCATGAGTGGCATGCATTTAGCATTTAGTATGATGTCATTATATAGACTGACTTTCTCTCTGCACCACCGACTGTAACTGACTTCATGCGTCCCTAAACTGAATAGAGTGATGGATTGCTGGTCCACTATTTTCTGGAATATATAGACCATATTAATCAAGAAAATAATCAGCAGATTAGTCAATAATCAAATAATCCTTAATGAAGTTGAATTTCATATCATGTTCAGTACAGTGTTCAATAGTATTTTGTGTGTCAGATGAGTGTCAGTGTGGATCATTTGTGGCTTTAGAAAACAACCTCTCTTCATTTCCAGTGTGAATGAAATAGGGCGAGTAGAGGAGTTGATGTAATTTTCAAACATGGTTAACCTGGAAAATCTGAAAACAAAAAACTACTACAAGAAACATTGCTCGCCTGCAGGGGACTTTGATCTCACTTGTGGCCAAGGGCCCATTGTCTCATAATCTGTCTATCTGTACGATTAAAAAAACAACTTAAATGTATTATATATGTACAGTGTGGACTGCCGTGATCTAAAAACACGATTTTCATACATCTGATTGACAGGTGTTACCACAGGAAGATGTGTGATTTCTTTCACTTTAAGCACAAAAATCACACTTAACATCACACCTTTCCACCACTGATGCTTTGAACGACACTGGACAGTGCACGCAAGCACGTGGTTACACACCAAGCTCCTCACCACACACTAGACTGACAGACACGGGCAGACATGATGACACTTCGCTGTAAACATGTCAGAAACATGATCAGTTGTGTGAAATTGTTCAGGCTACTTCAGATCAAGATGTATAATTTATAAAAAGATTTATTGGAGCCTGACAAGTTGTTTACATACTGAAACATGTTTGGATATAAAACCCCATCGTCAGTGGGTCAGTCACTGCAGACTGCTATGCAGCCAAACATCAGCGTTTTTGCCTTTTATTGACCAGAGACTGGGAGGGAGAGACAGGCCTGACATGCAACAAATGTCCATAGCCTTAATCGAATCAGGGTAGTTGCACAACATGGTGTGTATCATAAACCACAAGGCCAACCAACCAAAACATCTAAAATATTTCCATTTGGAGTCTTGGGTGAATATTCATTATTTAACTCAGTGTAACATCATGTAGCTTCAAACATAATTTAGCAGCATTTGTATCAGGATCTGATTACATTAGAGTCAATCAAGTCTGATTAAACCACACAGTCCTGAAAATTAACTGTGTATTTGCCTGTTAAACTCTTGCTTTTTAACTCTGTTTCTAATTTATTGATAAATATGCAAAGATCCCCTCCAAACATTAAAACGCGTGCAAATAGTCTGCTTGGAACAATAATGTGTGTCTGATGTGTTTTTTTCTGCAAGAAAAAGTATAATTTCCTTAAAAAGACGTCTATTCTTCTACCCCTTTTAAAAATTCAAGAATCTATGAATATGCATTTTTTTATATACAGATTTTTTTTTTGGGGGGGGTGCCTTCATTGGGTAGCTGAAGATATACAGGAAAGCGGGAGAGAGAGGGGAGGGGGCAGCAAAGGACCACACGTCAGATTCAAACCCATGGCCACTGCAGCAAGGACTCAGCCTTGGTACATGGGGTGTGAGCTCTACCAAGTGAGCTATTGGGGCGCCCTGAATGTGCACATTTCTTTAGTTTTTCCTGCTAGACACAAGATGTCTCTACTTCACTGTAAAGTCCATTCTCAGTGTCTGTGCTTCAAGTTTCTACAACACACTTGACTTGGATTGACCTTGTAGACTATTTATGATGTCACAAATCATGCTCATAGGCACAAATCAGACGAACACAGAGAAACTTTCCACTTTCAGCAGATGAATGAGAAAACATCCTTCTAGTGTCAAAGTCTGCACATACATCATTCTGCACAGTGAAGATCAAACATCACACTGTAGGAACAAGAAGACAAACATGTTTTGGACTAGAGGGGGACATTAATCTTGCAATAGCAAAATGTGTGCCCCTGCAACACTTAAATTATAATTTTGTGTGTTTATTTGTTGTATTGTAGCAAAGATCCCAATCCTTTGATTTTCTTAAGATGCATTTTTGGGAAGGGGATCTTGAGAAGTGTGTTCATTCTTGATCTTGTAAACAGTTGACCTCAATGATCATGATTGAAAGCTTCAGAGCTTCTACATGGACCTTGTGGTGAGAGCTTAAACCTTAAAGCCTGCATTGATAGAGGTCTGTCAAGTAAGTTAAAATTGAAAAATTAACATCTACAATTCTGTCAAAAGCTCCAAAACAACCACTTAGATTAAAAAATATATATATTATAGTGAGATTGTTTTCTCAACTGATCTTGAGATGTTTAGAAAAAAAGTAAGACGCTAGTGTCTTTCACCCACACTAATATCCACTAAATGATCATATTCGTGCCTCAGATCACGCCTAAAATATCTTCAAAGACTTGTTATCACCTTTAAGTATGAGCCATATGGGACTGAGTTAATGGTAACTGACATTACGTGTTCATACTGGTAGCACAGGGCCACATGGTGACAGAGGAGGTGGCATTGACACACCTAATGGAAATGCTGTGTGCTGTTATTTTTGCATAATAATTGCCAGGTGTGGCGATGATGGTGACGCTGACAGTGAAAGCAGCAGAACCAGAAAAATGCATCTGTTGTAAATGTACTGTATGTCTCTCTCTCACACACACACACATACACACCCACCCACACACACACACACACACACACACACACACACACACACACACACACACACACCAGCAGAGAAAATGGGAGAAGAAAGAAAGAGCAAAGGCAGTGAAGGGGAAAAACAACAACACAGATCGCTGCAGGCAGAGATGCCGCTGTATCCATTTTTGATGAATGGATGGCTTTCTGCACACACAGAGTACTTTATTAATACTAATGGAATGATGCTATTATAATAAAAGCATGTTGTGTCAGTTGATGGCCACAGTGTGAGGCTGAGGAGATGGAGACATCACACCCATGTAAACACCAGCAGACCTTTCAACAGCTGAGGAGGACGAGGAGAAGAAGATGAATAGGTCAGAATCTATAATGGCAGGCCCAAAGCCCAAAGAGTATAAGGAAGAATACTGGTAACACTGTTCATTGTTATTAACATTGTATTTTCCTCTTAAATGTTCTCTGAAGTTACACATATAGTGTTGTTTCAGTGTGTCCCAAAAGTTAAATTCACACACTGAATCTGAATATCCATTGTTTTTAAGTAATGCACCATTACGTCAAATGGAAAATAATACACATTCTGTGCTTTAGGTCCATATTTGGGATTTTTGGAGACCACTCTGGTTGATATACAAATATTAACATATTTAAATCAAACTTTGGTGGGTTTGAACAGTGTTTTTCTGCACAACAAGGATGCGGTGATGGACTGACCCTCCAACCTGGCCATAGCATTGAAAAAGTTGAATGTTATTCTTCACCATCTGAAATAAGAATAAAAAAAGGTCCAGGATTATATAAAAAAAATAGCAAACGACTGAGAGATGTCTGGTTGTTGAATAAAAAGTACCTTTTCTGTCATCTGTTTTGAGCATTACCAGACCAGATTTATGTGTTCACGAAGCTGCTTTTAAACATGTTTACACGAGTGTCTGAGTGTATTATTGTCTAATGTCTATTATAGAGGGAACTGTGCTCACACTATAGACTTTATTAGATCATCTCTTATTTGCGTAGTCACAGTGTATGAACATGAACATCTTCATCAAGTCATATACTGTACAGTTTTCCTTTTTCATTTTCAAATTCACATGAACCAAGTATATCATATGGTCACATAACCTAACATAAAATATACTGTATATACTGTGTAAATAAACATGCAAGACCCCTCTTCTCCCGAACATTTCCTCCATATAAACCAACGAAGACCAAATAACTCCCCCGAATTGACTGCCTTTCCACCACCATGATTAACATTTTGTAACACATCTCCATGTCTACATCTACATTTAGTTTGTGAACTTGTTTTCATCATTTCTCAGGTCTTCAGGTTTGCGCTGTTTACAGGTAATGTATATTAGAGCAGGTATTGGATATGAGTCATAAGTACCGGTGTGTTTTGATCTCGTTTGCTTAGTGTTTTATTGT